AGATATTGGAGCTGACCCCCTCTCCTCATTGAGTCCAGCAACACATTCACCGTATAGGCGGGAGTTCCGTCAATATCCAAAGGTGGTGATGGCTCTTGGACCTCGGCTCCGGGGTCAGCATCCAGGTGGGCCAGTTTGAGGAGGGAAACATGAAAGGAAGGAAAGATGCGATAGTTAGCAGGAAGCTCCAGCTGGTAAGTGACCTCATTTATTCTTCTAAGAATTTTAAAAGGGCCAACATACCTTGGGCTGAGCTTCCTGTTGGGCAGCCGCAGCTTGAGGTCCCTCGTGGAGAGCCAGACCCGCTGTCCTGGTTGGTAGGGAGGATGTTAGCCTGGAACTCCTGTGTTCTTACAGCTCGCTGGAGACAAATATGTGCGCTGTCCCACACCCTCTCGCTACGTCGGATCCAATCGTCCACCCCTGGGACCGAAGAAGGTTCACCAGACCACCGGAACATGGGGGGTTGGAACCCCAGGACGCACTGGAAGGGGGTTAGGCCTGTAGAAGTATGAGTGATGGAGTTTTGGGCATACTCTGCCCAAGGTAAGAACTCTGACCATCGATGTTGTTCTCGACTGCAGTAAGTCCGTAAGTATCTGCCGTTGAGGAGTTCAACTTGGCCATTGGATTGAGGGTGGTAACCTGACATTAGGCTTACGTTAATGTCCAGATGTTTGCAGAGAGCCCTCCAGATTTGGGAAGTAAATTGAGTGCCCCGATCGCTGACAATGTCCTCTGGAAGGCCATATACTCGGAAGACATGGTGGAATAAGGCTAGAGCTGTCTCCATTGCTGTGGGTAGTCCCTTTAGTGGTATCAGACAACAAGACTTGGAGAATCGGTCGATAATAACACGAATGTGGTGAAGCCATCAGAAGGGGGCAGATCAGTTACAAAGTCGATAGAGAGATGGGACCAAGGACGTTATGGGATGGGCAGTAGTTGGAGGAGACCTGATGGTAGTTCCTTAGGGGTTTTGGACTTTCTATGCTGGTTGTAAGACATGGCTGGGGCCGTAGGGTAAAACAGTGATTAATACAGAACATGGACCATTGAAGTAGCTGACATGATTTCATGTCTAGGGGCGTTAACAACATACAGGGTAATGGATTCTTGATTAAATAGTCATCGATGGCTTTGATCTTAATAGGGGGAGTGCAGGGTTGAGTGGGAAGTCCATACTTTTCAACGACGCTTTCGCTGACTAAAAACACTTTAACCACAGAGCATAATTTTGATGACGTTTGAATAGGCCTGGGCGACAAAACGGTATCGATATTTATCGACGGTACACCTTCTTCGATAATGATATTAAAAATTTTTGAAATAGTGCACGATATAGGCATGTGCTATGAGTGAGCAGGCAGCACACACACACACACGAACATGAGTGCTGTGCCTGCCTGTGATGAGGAGATTGTGAATAAAAAAAAGAATATTAGTTTAATTTAAAATAAA